CACAATGTCATTGACATGGGCCACACAACCACAATGTCATTGACATGGGCCACACAACCACAATGTCATTGACATGGGCCACACAACTACAATGTCATTGACATGGGCCACACAACCACAATGTCATTGACATGGGCCACACAACCACAATGTCATTGATATGGGCCACACAACCACAATGTCATTGACATGGGCCACACAATCACAATGTCATTGATATGGGCCACACAACCACAATGTCATTGACATGGGCCACACAACCACAATGTCATTGATATGGGCCACACAACCACAATGTCATTGACATGGGCCACACAACCACAATGTCATTGACATGGGCCACACAACTAGAATGTCATTGACATGGGCCACACAACCACAATGTCATTGACATGGGCCACACAACTCAAATGTCATTGATATGGGCCACACAACTACAATGTCATTGATATGGGCCACACAACCACAATGTCATTGACATGGGCCACACAACCACAATGTCATTGACATGGGCCACACAACCACAATGTCATTGACATGGGCCACACAACCACAATGTCATTGACATGGGCCACACAACTACAATGTCATTGACATGGGCCCCACAACCACAATGTCATTGACATGGGCCACACAACCACAATGTCATTGACATGGGCCACACAACTACAATGTCATTGACATGGGCCACACAACTACAATGTCATTGACATGGGCCACACAACCACAATGTCATTGACATGGGCCACACAACTACAATGTCATTGACATGGGCCACACAACCACAATGTCATTGACATGGGCCACACAACCACAATGTCATTGACATGGGCCACACAACTAGAATGTCATTGACATGGGCCACACAACCACAATGTCATTGACATGGGCCACACAACTCAAATGTCATTGATATGGGCCACACAACTACAATGTCATTGATATGGGCCACACAACCACAATGTCATTGACATGGGCCACACAACCACAATGTCATTGACATGGGCCACACAACCACAATGTCATTGACATGGGCCACACATCTCGAATGTCATTGACAAGGGCCACACATCTCGAATGTCATTGTCATGGGCCACACAACTACAATGTCATTGATATGGGCCACACAACTACAATGTCATTGACATGGGCCACACAACCACAATGTCATTGACATGGGCCACACATCTAAGATATAAAACATCCACAACTGACAGAGTCGCCAAAAAAAAAAAACAAGTAAATCCAACACTGACTCATCTTATAAAATTAAAACATCAACTTTTAGCCGACTTTTCCTGGAGTTTTCTTTACGATATAAGTTTACTTTCTCGACGCTGGTCTACTTCACCTTCACTTTGACATTAACACACAAAAAACTTATAATCTGGATTTAATTTCAGTAAAAAAAAATTCTATAATATCTAGACATGTGTTTACATTGAAAATCTGAAATCTGTACGTAAATATTTATACTTAAAGTAAGCATTCCCTGAGTCCACCCACTTCTTACATAAACGAGAAAAGAAATATGAGGATGTCAAGAAGCTGAAGACAATCCTTTTATGAAAAGAGCTTCATTTCATCTGTCCCTAGAGTCCCTCGAATCTAACAGGTTTTTTTTTATTTTTTTATTTTTTTTTTGTAAAATAATAAATAATAACATAGGATAAAACGTGAATTTGTGTTCAATAACAATGATATAATAATTAGTACTCTTTTTTTTCTGCCCAGTCCAGGTTTGAATAAAAAATATTCCATGTATTTTCAACCCTGTGTTTGTTTTGTTTTTATTTTATTTTTTTCTCCCTAGAGTGTCGTGCCTGGCATTAATGCCCTGACCGTGTCAATTCCCGGACACCGGCAGTGAGAACTCGGACATAGACACCAGAATCAAACCCCCTTCTTCCCCCCGTGATTGTGTCAATAGCGGTTGTTAGCCTTTCAATCGCTGCCTGCTCTATGTTCACAAACCGGAACTTGTCACACGCTCGGAAAATGGAAGCTCCCACGTCACAGCATCGCGTGGGTTATTTCCCCTGCATCTCGCGACAAGTTAATGCGCGGCTAATCGTCATCAAAAGATGCGCTTTTTTGCCGCTCAGGATGTGAAAAAATTTCCAATGAAATCTCAAATCCAACAGGAAAATAACTTTTTTGTCCTTAAAATAAAACTATGAATAGCGTAAAACAATTTTATCAGTAGACTTCGGTTCACTTAAAAAAAAAAATTTGCGTGTGTTTCTGAAAACAAATTTGCTTTAAAAAAATTATTTGGATTTATTTTTTACATTGTATAATATAGCTTTAGAAGGGAAATTTTTTTAAAAAATACATTTTTACAGTGAACTTTAGGTTAGGCAACATCCATAGACAAATTAAAATATCCAATGTTTATTTTCTATTAAATAAAAAAGCGTTAATTATAGAATAGCGATATTATAAATGAGTTTAAAATAAGGTCAACTTTTAAAAGAAAATGTTAACTTCCGGTTTGAAAAGTATAATTAAACATCCGAAGAAAATGTACAATAACGATTATGTAAATTATGCTTGAAACCCACTACATTTAAAAAAGAACAAACTAATTTTAGCTAGATCAGCAGTTTGTGGAGGATCGGAGAAATTATGTCAAGTTTAATTATGCAAATGAGTTTCTGTTTTCTATCTCTAAATTAGTTTAACATTCAAAGGCCGTTCTGAAAAAACTGTGTATGTAATGCTGGTTCTACAGTAGCCATCTTTCTTTTTCATGTGTGTCCTATATCGACCGTTTTTAGAATGTGTGTCCTACATCAACCATTTTTAGAATGTGTGTCCTACACCCACCATTTTTAGAATGTGTGTCCTACACCCACCATTTTTTAAATGTATGTCCTATACGGACCATTTTCAGAATTTGTTTCCTACGTGGATTATTTTTAGAATGTGTATCCGACACAGACTATTTTTAGAAAATTTCTTACAACGACCAATAAGATTGTGTGTCCTACTTGACCATGTTTAGAATCTGTGTCCTGTATTGACCAATTTTAGAATATGTCCTGCACCAACTATTTTTAGAACGTGTGTCCTATACCGACCATCATTAAAACGTTCATATATTTCACCATCAATTAGTTAAGCACCAGACCCATAATACGTAACGAATCCTAGCAGAAGTACCACCATGACGTCACCAAACCCAGCAGAAGTACCACCATGACGTCACCAAACCCAGCACAAGTACCACCATGACCTACCAGACGTAGCCGTTAAACCGGCAAAAAGGGCGGGAGAACGCCGTAATTACACCTGACGACAGATTAACTTTTAATTTCCTGGTGAGTCAACACACGCAGACACAAGTAATTACAGGTCCCGGCCAGGCTTCGCCCTAGCCAGCGCTTGCCGCGAGATTATTTGTTTGATCTTCGCGATCAGTCCTGTGATACCTTTGGTCATTTGCGTGATGGCCGGCGTTAAATATTCAGTAGCAGACGATACACGGGAATGGCTGTCCTGATATATCAAATGTTATTACTCAGGATCAGCTTTACATTAAATTGATAGTCCTAGTATATAAAAAGTTTTAATTTAGATCAGTTTACCATTAATGTAACTGTTAACCTTTTCTTACTCTCTGCACTCGCTTTATTTTTTATTTTATTTCACCAGTATTCTAATTTCCTTCCAATTTAATTCTTAGACAATATTATATTTCAAGTTCTTTTTATAATTGTAAATTCACGCAGGTGAATTACTTATATTACTTACAAAAGTATAATCAACTTAATTATTTTTAATTAATGTCATTAAAAAGTACCATTTTGAAACGTTTACTCAAAATATATAGTCTTGAACTGAACCATACATGCACATATCTATACAAATTGTTATAAGAAATAAATACTAAAAATAAATATATTTTGAAAACATGGTTCATTATGTGGTAATATTCACCGGAAACTTTTAATGTTGAGTCATTTTGCTGCTAGCATAAATACAAAGACACAAAAGCTTTAAACTAACATAAATATAGCAACACAAAAGCTGTTGATGCAATAACTAGCATCAACATCTTTAAACCGCTAGTTTCGTGGTGAGCGCGGATCGAAAAAAAAATGTTCTAATTACTGCCACGCTTGGGTGAGAAGCTAGGGGAGTTAATTTCTTGACATTTGTGAGTGACATACAGATCGATGGCACGAGTTCTGTCCCTTGTTCAGCTGATTGTTACAGCACTCTGTGAACCCAAAGAGTGGGTTTCTCGGGCGCTGCCACCCCCTACCCACCCCTCACAACCCCCGGGGCGATGTTTTAAGTTGCATTTTTTAGCAGACGTGACCTACAGTTTGCAGCAAATCGTGGCAGAAGTAGCACCAGACAAAAGGTGAGAAAACCTTTGTCTGTAACACAATTGCTAGCCTAGTCTAGAAGTTTAAACGTCATTCAAATCTTCAGGTAAGGTGTGGTTGGTATACAAAAGGTATGAAAATCACAGACTGTAAAGCAGTTCTTCAGATAAGATGTGGTTGGTATACACAACAAAATCTTTTATTCTCAAAGTTTACTGTTTTCTAAAACAGTCAAGATAAAACACACTGCACTGCGGAATGTTTTGGCGATAAATATTGACTTGTCACATAATTATACGGGAGCCGGAATTACCTTATCTTCTTCTTCGTTGATTATTCTATTGTTGGAAGGGGTTCCCTCCAACAGAATTACTTATCAACTGGTTATGTGCCATTGAGGCCACTGACTCCGATTTCAGCCTGCTTTTCATTTGGGATTTGGTTCCATAGCCTTTGTCCAACCAAGACCCAACTACAAGGCAGCAGTTGTTTGATTATTGAAGAGTGGTTGTCCCAAGCTAATGAGGGTTCGAACTCGAGACTTTTCGGTTTGGCTACCATGAACTTTGCCGACTCGACCACGCCGACCCCATATAAACCGATTACCTTATAAAAATATTGCTTAACATAGGCTTAATGATATAATTACCAAGATATACTTACCACAGAATGATATAGTGGCCAGCATAGATCGCTCTAGCGGGGGTGCCCAGTGTCTCCAAATACCGTGACAAGCCGGATACGTTACACCCTGGAGAAACCAAATTTCTTGTCAAAAGTTTACAAATAGATGACAAATTGTACAAGCTCATTATAATGGCATAACTTTATCAATCATAAGGTATAACTTATGTATTTAAAAAAAAACAAATAAATCACAAGTGTTGAATTAGATTTGTTTAAAGATTTAAATATTAGAAATATTTCAATCTGATTTTAACTTTCTGTTGTTTTTTTTAATTCTCACTTTTATTTTAAACCAAATGCTTCTAAAAATAGTAAACCTTTTAGTTTTTAAATATCATATTGCAAAGCTCCCACTCTTCCTCACTCTTTGTCTCTCTCTATCTCTCTCTCTCTCTCTCTCTCTCTCTCTCTTTCTCTCTCTCTCTCTTTCTGCGTGTCTCTCTCTCTCTTTTTATTTCTCCCCCTCTGTCTCTCTCTATCTCTTTCTTTCTCTCTCTCTCTTACCCGTTCCCTCTGTCTCTCTCTCTGACTCTCTCTCTCTCTCTCTCTCTCTCTCTCTCCCAGCAGTCTTACTCCCATGTACTGATGACGTCAGAACTCACCTCAACCAACCCCTGCAATATCCGGACCGAAATGACCAGCCCATAATGCACCTCTGCTGCACCAGGTAGCAACAGGTTCATGCAGGCCGATATTCCTATGGCCATACCGAACAATCTGGAACAAAACAAACACTACATCAACATACCGAACAATCTGGAATACAATAAACGCTACATCAAGAGACCAAACAACCTAGAACAAAACAAAGATATTCCAATATCCAAACCGTACAATCTGGAATATAACAAACACTACGTCAACTTACCAAACAACATAGAACAAAACAAAGAGATTCCAATATACCAAACAACCTAGAACAAAACAAACAAAACATCAACATACCGAACAAAGTAGAACAAAACAAAGATTCCAATGGCCATACCAAAACCTAGAACACAACAAAGATTACGTCAAACACTCGAGATACTTATGATTATACAAAACACAAATTTGAGACTTCCACGAGAAATTTTAGTAATTTTACTAGACTCGAAAACAGGTTTTTTTCAGCAATTTTTTCTGTGAGATTGGCCATACTTAAAATTTTAGGTTTCTTGGGGAGTAGGGGATACTGGTTAAAGTATGTATTTTCTATATAAATTATATACACTTTTCTATTTCATCCGAGGGGTGGGGGTGCAAACTGGGGCATTGTCCCCCACCCCCGGGGAGATGCATAAAAGAAACGCCGTGAAAATATTGACGACTCCAAGCCGTAGGGGTTCAAAGGTCAATCAGACACTCCTTTCATTAGTAGCAGTAGCTGGGCTAGGTACTGCTCACAACAGTCCAACAGTAATTTATGAGTTCATTTCAATTCTCAAATAGAAACCACACGTCAGGAACCTCACTGTAGTAGGTCTTTATTTCAAAATAAGAAGAGGGAAAAATCCCACGAGTAGCTTCCCCGTATTTCATTTCCGTTTCACTAGTATTAAGATGGGAGGCAACTCGCTATATAAAGGACTTCAACAAACACAGTTACTCGCTCAAGATGGGAAGCAACCCACACGAAAATTCCGTGCTTTAAAATCCTGCAGTGTATCTGATATGGGCCTTGGGTGTCTGGGATATTAGGCGGAAATATGATTAAAACCTGATCAATGTCTACTGGAGCGTGTCAGCCAGATAACTAGGTAGGCCTGCAGCCAGGAGCAAGGGGTTACCGGCCCTTTCATGTCACGACAGCCAGTTATTGGCCCTTGTCATATGACAAGAAGGAGTTATTGCCCATAACATATCACAGCATTAATACGTCATGTTACAAAAACACAATAATAATAATCAATGCATAGAAAATTAACACAATATAGGTAACCAGTTATAGTATAACTAGTTACCTTATATTCCTGTACCAGCATGAAAAAACTCGTGATAAATTGCCTAATGATTGATACTTCTAATACAACTCTGTTTGTCGGGTTACCTATCCAACTACAACTCACTACATTGGTAGGGGAATACAAATTACATAATATACACAATATATTTTTATTAAATATTCTTTTGCTGATTTTTACGCTGATTTTAGGCCTACCGTTTAGATATAAAAAATTCCAAATTTTACAAATTTTAAATTACGCCTAAAGGCTCATCGTGACTCGATCCAGCATAATAACTGACGTTTATGCCTCTTACGTAATTTCTACTCAAAACCGTTTTGGCCATTTACCTTCTATACAGACCTCAGTTAATTTGGCCTATAGATATAAAACATCAAGAAAGATAATCTAATCAAATATTAACCACTATTTCAATCGTGTAGGGCCTACACTATTTTAAGACTGTATTGAAAAGTGGATTGTTTTCTATTAAGTTTCTAATCCACCTTTAGGCTAATGATATTGTCACTTCTTTCTCAGATCGAACTGTGAAATACTTTCAGGGTTTGACCCAGAACAAAAACTACCTGAAACATTTATCAGAAAAATGTAGACTAAATAGCAGAAAATGTAGACACTTAAGATACATAAAAGAGGCATAAAAAAAACAGCACCAAGACCAAAAGATAAAAATCACAATGAATAAAATATAAGACACAAAACAAAAAAATAAGAATCACAAAATATTAAAGGATCAGAAAAACAAGGACTAAAATATAAGTCATTGATACTAAAAGATAAGAGTCTTAAAGACTTAATTGTTAGAGTCCACCAGACTTAAACAGAAGAGTCAAAAATATTTAAACAGAAGAGTCACAAAGATTTAAATAGGGGAGTCACAAAGACTCAAAGTTAAGAATCGTAAGGCCTAAAATATAAGACAGCAAAGTTTACAACCCAACTAGAGGTCATCTTGTAGCACCATGACCGTTGACGATCGTTTAACTTTTGGAGTGGTTCAGCCACAACATTCACCACCCATGAGACCACCGGACAAAAAGCTGAACCATTAGCCGGTGGTTCAATAATTAAGTACACGGGGTCAACTCTAGCCGCAGGTCCTGTAGACATTAATTAAAATTGATTTTGTATTTCAGTTCCGGCAAATGAAATTTGTTACATTCTGTTCTTCCCGTGTAAATGTATTACAACCACAAACATGCCAGGTATTTTTTTTACAAATGTTGCCAAGTTCGAATAAAAAATATTACACAATCTTATGATTGGCCAAGGTTGTTTGTAGGCGTATTGACCAGGTTGGTTTAGCATAGGTAAAACCGGAAGTTGATTTGTCAAAGTTTTCCGGTGTCTAGCTGAGCAATGAATATACAATGCTTCCTATTTATAGACTACAATATGTGTATACGTACATTACATGAGGTGGATAGTATACATATAGTTGATTCACTGTTTTTATATTTATATCAGGATGTCAGGGGTGTAAGTATAGGCTACATGTAGACCTACTGTGGAGAGGTTAGGAAAGGCGGAATTTAAATATTTTTATATTTATAGAGTTATACATAGTTAGACCAGCTATAGCACAAGCATCTTTAACATCGTTATATTTCTCAGATATTGACTTACGACAGTTTTAGTAAATTTAAAATCTTTACATCATACAATTCCTTATATACATATATATATATATATATATATATATATATATATATATATATATATATATATATATATATACATACATATATATATATATATATAATATGTTTGTGTATATAAATATATATGTGTTATACTTATGCATAAATCTATGTTATACAGTCAGTAAACCAAATTATTCAGGCTACTATGAATAATTTCTGCACGCCGCATGCACTGAATAATATAATTAATTTTAATTAGGTCTTATAATTAGCACCATGCCAAGCGCTGTTGGCTGGGACATTACCTGCCATGCTGTTGGCTTGAAATTACAAATCCCTCCTGGGAATTAAAACACGTCTAAAAAATTTTTTTTTTTTAAAGTTAATCTCAAATAGATGAGGAAATGTGAATTGTCGCCGTTATCGATTTATTCGGGACGTTAATCGATCGGTAATTAGAAATTAATTGAAATAATTCATGTCACGCAAACCAGTTGCTGGGGATATCTGATCATGTTGGGGGGTGGGGTGGACGGGGGGGAGGTGACAAGGTAGGGAGTGGGACACTAGAGGAAGAGGGAATGGGGGGGTGGAAGAAGAGGGAGTAGGGGACTTGAATTAGGGAGTGAAGTTAGGGAGTAGGAGACTTGAATTCGGGAGTGAAGTTAGGGATTAGGAGACTTGAATTAGGGAGTGAAGTTAGGGAGTGGAAGACTGGAATTAGGGAGTGAAGTTAGGGAGTAGGAGACTTGAATTAGGGAGTGAAGTTAGGGAGTAGGAGACTTGAATTAGGGAGTGAAGTTAGGGAGTAGGAGACTTGAATTAGGGAGTGAAGTTAGGGAGTAGGAGACTTGAATTAGGGAGTGAAGTTAGGGAGTAGGAGACTTGAATTAGGGAGTGAAGTTAGGGAGTAGGAGACTTGAATTAGGGAGTGAAGTTAGGGAGTAGGAGACTTGAATTAGGGAGTGAAGTTAGGGAGTAGGAGACTTGAATTAGGGAGTGAAGTTAGGGAGTAGGAGACTTGAATTAGGGAGTGACGTTAGGGAGTAGGAGACTTGATTTAGGGAGTGAAGTTAGGGAGTAGAAGACTGGAATTAGGAAGTGAAGTTAGGGAGTAGGAGACTTGAATTAGGGAGTGAAGTTAGGGAGTAGGAGACTTGAATTAGGGAGTGAAGTTAGGGAGTAGGAGACTTGAATTAGGGAGTTAAGTTAGGGAGTAGGAGACTTGAATTAGGGAGTGAAGTTAGGGAGTAGGAGACTTGAATTAGGGAGTGAGGTTAGGGAGTAGGAGACTTGAATTAGGGAGTGAAGTTAGGGAGTAGGAGACTTGAATTAGGGAGTGAAGTTAGGGAGTAGGAGACTTGAATTAGGGAGTGAAGTTAGGGAGTAGGAGACTTGAATTAGGGAGTGAAGTTAGGGAGTAGGAGACTTGAATTAGGGAGTGAAGATAGGGAGTCGGAGACTTGAATTAGGGAGTGAAGTTAGGGAGTAGGAGACTTGAATTAGGGAGTGAAGTTAGGGAGTAGAAGACTTGATATAGGGAGTGACGTTAGGGAGTAGGAGACTTGAATTAGGGAGTGAAGTTAGGGAGTAGGAGACTTGAATTAGGGAGTGAAGTTAGGGAGTAGGAGACTTGAATTAGGGAGTGAAGTTAGGGAGTAGGAGACTTGAATTAGGGAGTGAAGTTAGGGAGTAGGAGACTTGAATTAGGGAGTGAAGTTAGGGAGTAGGAGACTTGAATTAGGGAGTGAAGTTAGGGAGTAGGAGACTTGAATTAGGGAGTTAAGTTAGGGAGTAAGAGACTTGAATTAGGGAGTGAAGTTAGGGAGTAGGAGACTTGAATTAGGGAGTGAAGTTAGGGAGCAGGAGACTTGAATTAGGGAGTGAAGTTAGGGAGAAGGAGACTTGAATTAGGGAGTGGTTAGGGAGTAGGAGACTTGAATTAGGGAGTGAAGTTAGGGAGTAGGAAACTTGAATTAGGGAGTAAAGTTAGGGAGTAGGAGACTTGAATTAGGGAGTGAAGTTAGGGAGTAGGAGACTTGAATTAGGGAGTGAAGTTAGGGAGTAGGAGACTTAAATTAGGGAGTGAAGTTAGGGAGTAGGAGACTTGAATTAGGGAGTGAAGTTA